ATGTATGATCATTTCCAGAGTAGGACCGTGGACGTGATACATTCCCAGACGTTTCGCCGACGTCGTCAGTGAGTGTCATCATTCTTAGCACCACACAAAAACTCGTCAAAGAGACAAGTGAAGCCGATCCTTTGACTAAACGTGTGCTAAGCAGTTGTGATATCTCTCCTTCAGCCCTGGGTTATTCACATTTCCTATATCCTCCTATCACGCCTTCCTTGTTACAATTTGTACCGTGCTTATTTCGGTCTAGTGTGGTGTGCTCCTTTGAGTGGTAGTCATGAGAACCCTCCATACTCAAAGCTGGCGTTCTTACTCCCCCTTCACCCTTGTGCTGGGAATGTTGATCAGAGTCTGCCATGTTGTTACGCAGTCTTCCTTCCATAGGTCTTATCACGGTCTCTCTCTTACCCCGTAAGATCCGTCTGTTCTCTCCCTGGTTCAGGTATTTCACTCGACCCCTGCCACCCCATCTGTGCTACTAGAGGCATTATTCGCCCGCCCCTGTGTCTGGGTGACTAATTTGAGGCTAAAGCCTCTGAGTAAGTCTCATCGTCAAGCCACGTCTATGGTAAAACCTACTGTCAGCCAGCTAGATCCAATCTCCGCCGCGCTTATCCTGTTTCTATTCAAAATACCAAGTCTATGACTTGCTATGCCTTAGTCTCTTGTGAAATAACCCACAAATGTTGTGGTACTGCTTGCTTTGTTTAGGTTAAATGTTGAACCACAACGTTTGTGGGTTGACACACAAGAGACTAGGACATGGCAAGTCATAGACTTGGTATTAGGGATAGAAACAGGATAGACGTGGCGGAGACAGGAGCTAGTTGGCTGACTGTAGATCTGTTATTTACTATAGACGTGATCCAGGTAGAAAAGGCGTAACCATGAGACCAAGGGAAGGAGGACTGCGTAGAATTATTGCAGACTCTGATCGATATTCCCAGCACAAGGGTGAAGGGGGTGAGAACGCCAGCGTGGAGTATCAAGGGTTTTCATGAATGCCGCTATAGGAGTACACCACACTACATCGAAATAAGCACAGTAAAAATTGTAACAGTGAAGGCGTGATAGGAGGATATAGGAAAGATGAATAGCCCAGGGCAGAAGGGGAGATACCACAACTGCTTAGCACACGCTTGGTCAAAGGATCGGCTTAACTTAACGAGATGTTTTGTAGTGCTAAGAATGGCGAGACTCATTAGCGATGCCGGCGAAACGTCTGGGAATGTACCACGTCCATGTTCCTACTCTGGAAATGATCATGCATACAATGGACTCCGGACTATGTGCGCTCCTTTAAATCTTCCTACCAATATGACCAAGTTGCGAAAACCAGGTCAAACAACCTCTATACAACGAAAGGAGACTGCTACCACACAAAAGGCTATACCATCTTGGTCTTCATACCTTCTATTAAAATATAGGATAATTGAGTTTAAAAAGTGATGCGTTAGAATTATCTGAAACCAACGGACTGTTGAAGGGCCGGAAATACGAAGTCGAGACCACGTTCCTTAAGGCAAGTACGATCAAGGCATGCCAAAACCACTTCAACAAGTTCTGGCAATACGTCAGCAAGATCAGCAGACCGACGCCAGCAGACCTGCTCGAAGAGACGGATCACTTCACGCCGCGCAGCAAGCAACGGAAGTTGCCCAGCAAGAGCATTGGAGTTAGAGGCTATCGAGAAGTTGGAAGAAGAATGTACAGGAGTACTATCACCTAAATAGAGATAACATAAAAAATTTTTGAACATAATAAATAAACGAATATCTCATAAGATTTAATTTTTATCAATGTGCCTATAAGACAGAGGCAGTGAATAAAGCGCAGTCATCCACTTCAATAAAAAAAAAATGAAATTTAGCTTCAAACTTCCAAAAAAAGTCTCACAAGGTCACAAAGAAAAACAGAAATCGTATTGACGAGAAGCAGGAATTGAAAAGACTAAGGAGAATTCTGGTTGAGAACAGGATAAATTGACAATTATTTTAGGATATTGTCAAATAGCGTGGAGGGAAATACACTCTAACAGTCCTTATGCTGTCATCGTGTAGTTTGTCGAAGATAAGCAAATTACTTAGGAGATGAGACATCAGGAATATTTATAAAAAGAAAATAGCACTTTACTCAGTAATGCAAGAGTTTGTATTTGTGCGATAGCGCTTATGTGGAAGAGACCTGTATGCATATACATAAGAGGTTATCTTAACATAAAACAGTCTTCGAGGGTTCTTGCTTCCGAAAATGGGAATTGGTCGAACACACGGCTCGTACAGTACACCAGATAGATTGGTCTAATGCCAAACGCTTAGCTGGATATGGAGAATATACCAGTAATCGAAAGATTCTGGATGCAATGAAAATCAATAAATCATCAAACAGCCTGAATAGAAGGAATTGGTGTAGGAAGTTAAGTGGAAACTACTTGTGGCTGCTGGGTAGGATTGAAGAGGAGGGAAGGAGAAGTACCATAGAGTAAGAGAAGACTTGACTCCTGCGTAAAACTCATTTCAAGGGCAATGCATTCACACAGTACGCGTGCAATGGAGTACAATCATATGCGGTAACATTGCAAGATCAAAGAAATAAGTGTTTTAGGAGAGGATGTGACTGTTCAGTCACAATTCCATTCCTCTCACGCTTCATCTGCAGCCACTTAACTTTTCAGCTAACATTTAGGCAAAGCATAAGATACCTAACCAAATTATGAGATGCCTCATTAAGTGGTAAATTTGGACCATAAGAAGTGGATAAGTTTGAACCTGGCCACCTTTCTTGTCTTCGTGCTTTGATGAATTATCGTTAAGTATGATGTCGTGTTCTGATAATGCCAATCGAATGATGGACGAGAGCTCAGCGAGGATTCATCGGAGTCGCAGGGCAGTACACCATGGACCTTATTCGCACAAATCTACGGTCAAGACCCAAAGGCAATACCTCTTCAGCTTTTGGTAAGGCCAACTTGCGAATCCCTCTCGCCTGTTCAAACGAAACTAAGGTATTCCAACATCAATCTATTAAGGGATTCTTCAAAAACCAGTTTTTCTACTTGACTACGAAATAGAGTAAACGCTGATAATATATATGATTTTCTGATATTAATCTTACATCATGGATAGATGTAATCATCAATTGAAGGTAAGTGGTACTACCATTTAAAAAATATGATGAATGTAGCGAAATGAAGAGTAAGAATTGGTAATCCACATGTCTACTTAATTATGAAATTCATTGAAAAACAACAATAAGATACTTTGGCACCTAAGTATATTTATTTAAATGCTATCGGCACTCACTTCCTGGGGACCAGGCGTAACATAATATACTTATTTTGCTAATTAGCTTGTAGATATATAGTATAACAATAGTATAGTACAGTAAAGCGAAATTTCGAGAACTTGCCAAAGACTGGAGCTCCGAAAACGGGAGTAGCCATTAGTATGGTCATTGGCAGAGACGATGGATCATGGACATTAGCTGCAAAACCGCCAACGATTTTAGTATGAGCACTGGCCAAGTGAGTAGTTGGTGCCTGCAGATCTATAGTTGAATAATGAGACGAATGATCCCCAGCACCGCTTGTGTGTTCTAGGCTCCCAGGCGGAAGATGAATTGAGGCCTTTCTTGCATGTTGTAAGCTATTCGAGGCCAAGTTTTGTTGTTGCTGATGCTGCAGCGGTTGGATCTGGTGTATCTGAGTTAGATTAACTGGAAACGGGACCGAGGATCCAGTTGAATGAAAATGACTACTATTGATATGGTTGAGATTGCGACGGACCTCCAAGGAAAGCATCAGCACAACCAACTGAGGTCGAATGAAAGTCATACTCCAGAGTGCCTGACGAGCAGTGCGAGCCAAATCAACAAAGTCAGGCAATGTTTGACCGATACCAACACTAAGGTCGAAATTTTTGATTGCCAAACATGACGGTAAGTAGATGAGTGCAATATAAAATTAGATGGATAATTTAAAATAGGAGTGAATGCGTATAGATAGAAAGAATCATAAAA